GGGCCCGCTTGCTTCTTCAGGTGGCGCTGGAGTCGTTGAGTCCAACAAGCTCCCGGCCACGGCTTCATGTCTTGGCGACCAAGACGCGTAGCTCCCTGGAGGAGGCCGCGGAGGGGTTTTTGCATTCTGAGCGTCGTCGCCTGTACGCCGTGTACCGCGCCTCCACGTCCCGCGATGCCTCGTTGGTACCCTCCCCCTACGATTACGTTTGCGTCCTTCAGAGGCTGAGTGCCTGTGGTATGGGGGCGCCTTCCAAGCAAGTGTACTCGTTGCTGGTGGAGTTGCTTAGGAAGCCGCTGCACCCCTCGCAGGCCGGCCTGGGGTGGGATCTCCCGGATGAGGCGGTAGTGGATTTGCAGGCGCGAGCTCTGGGGGGCGGTGGTGCCCTGCCTCGAGGGCCGCGACGCCTTGGCGTTTGCGCAGAAGGGCCTCATGCCACTCCTCTCGCCTACTGCCCTCGCGGGCGGCAGCCACTCTAGTGAGTTGGTGTTTATTCAGGCACTTCGTCGGCGGCTGCGGGGTGGCGGCGTCGCCTCCAGCCCTGCGGAGGCGAGCGGCGGAAGCATCGAGAGTGGATTGCTGGCGACGGCCCCTGTGGTGTCGGCTGCGGCGGCAGCTTTGATTCGGGTGCGACACAACTGCGGCAAAGCAACAGGCAATTGAGCTTTTGCAGCTCGCGTCTATTGCCCGGCTGAGCGGCCGGAAAGTATTTGATGAGAACGTTCCCGAGAGATGTGCCGAGTCTGCCGCCCTCATTGGCGACGCGGAGACGGTCGCGCGTATCGTATTTGTTTTGCGCCACGCTCTCGCGGTGTGTTGGGTGCGGCGGTGGGGCCGGCAGCGCGCGCCGGTGAAGCCGCAAACGGCGGTGTGGGAGTGACCGTGGCGGCAGCGCGGGAGGTCGTGGCTCGCTGCTGAGCCGTGTTGCTTTGGGTTGGGGCCGTCGGGCCTCCGCGGAGGAGCGAAAGCGAAGGCGACGTGGAGATGTTGCGTTTCGCCGAGCGACCGTCCGTCTCCTGAAAGGCGTTCTGCACGCGGCGCTGCATCGCCGGCACTCCGCCGTCGACGCTCGTGGCTGCCGTGTGCAAGAAGCTGTGCGGCTTTTTGGCTCGCTGCGCCTGGCGTGCGCGTGGGACGGCGCGGCCGCAATGGCGGTGGGGCTCCTCACGCACGTGGGTGCGGAGGCACGGAGGCGCCTCAGCCGCGAGCCGCAGGATGGGGGCGTGGAGCCGTTCTTTTGCCTTCACCGCGACGCGCTGCGTGTCGTCGCCACACTGCGGGGCGCACTGCCGCCTCAGCCCGCCGCGTACCAGCACTCGGCGTACGCAGCGTGCGCCGCCCCGGCAATGAACTGCTACTTCGTTGCGGCGCCCATCCGCACGGAGAGGGGGACGACAGTTCCAGTGCTGGCGCTGCCTTTGCTCGATTCACGAGACAAGCGGCTGGGCCACCTTTTCTCCGCCGTAGCCGCGACGTTGGACCTCTTTGACTCCATGACGCCTGAAT